CTTTTAGTTTGTGCAGGTATGTTGCTTGTTGAGTAAGTTAGGACACGAGACCTATGACTCAAAGTGATCAGGGATCGGGTGTCACATTTCGTCTTTCCAAAACTTCTCTAACATAAACCGTAACTCATGTAAGAGTTAAGTATAATCCGATTAATATTTTCCATTAACTAATGAACATTGTATAACCAAAACATAGCAATAATTTGTACGATCCCAGATAGGTATCAAAAACTACACAACTTTTAATCTACTTCATTATACTCATAACAATCATTTTATGATTACAAAAAAAAAGAAATTAAACCCGAAGATGAGACACTAATAACCAATGATCAAATCCTACTAATTACATATTTCGACTATTAATTAGTCTCTTCTTCATCAACTATAATAGACAGTTTATAATTGACATAAGTTTTTTTTAAAATTTTTTTTGCTGAAAATGGAAATATTATTAAGAAGTGAATAATTTAGGGTTTACAATTAGTTGGAAACAAAAAAACTAGCATCTAGATGCTCCTAGAACAAAAAAAAATTAAAACATGGAAACATAAACCAATCGGTAGTTTCTCAAAGCTTGACCCGGTTATATAAAAAAAATATTTGTTTTCTTCGTCTTTTGAAGTTTGGTTCGGTTATATATAAAAAAAATATCTTCGAAACTAGAGTAAAAACAAAAGAATCTATCGACATGAATCATTTCCATATGAACACACTGTCGCACATAAAAACATACAACAAACTTTTTGAAAATTTGGCAGATACAATTGGAATTTGACATTTTAGCACATAGTATAATAAAAATATCAAAATGAGCTAGAAACCAAAAAAGGCCCAAAAACAGTAGTAGCCATTTGCTTCAATATCAATCATCAATCCAATGTCAATTTTACGGCGCACGTTATGTCCCTATTCGCTATCATCCTTTGTTGGCGTACGTTAGCATCTCCTCATAAGCTGCATTATTATTGGCCGTTGTGTGGTTCCATAAAGGCTTAGGGTTCCGGATTCAGGGGACGTGTCGCCACCGCCCTTATCACGCTGCTTCTCTTCTCTCTTTCGTCGGAGAAAGGCGGATTTACAGATCGGTTCTCGTGGTGGATATGGGTGAAGAAGACACCGTGACGGTGGATCAGAATAGTTACGGTAGTGGCAAAGGCAAAGATTCTTTGCTCCGTAATCGCCGTTCTTCGTCGCCATTGCCTCCACCTCCACAGTTATCTTCTAAAGTGCTTACATTGCCTACCGTATTAACCCTTGGCCGTGTAGCTGCCGTTCCGATACTCGTCGCGAGTACGTTTTTGATTTTTTTGGTTCCCGATTATGGTTTTTTCGACTCTGAATTCTGTCTTTTTGTTCTTTTCGATTTGATCATCAGATCTAAACGAGAAGGCAATTGTGATGTGTCTTTAGCTCTGTAGAATGCGTTTTCACATCAGAATTTCTGTTTCGTTTGAATTGATTGTATCTCTTTCTCCTCCTTGTACTTGGAGAAATTGAGCTTATTGCTTACTACACCTCCGCAAAATTGTTGAAGCTTTCGTATATGTTTGATTAGTAATCTGAATTTGATCTTTTGCTGATGCGTTTCTGATTGTGATTATATCCCATTTTGCAATTTTCGGATGTAGCCTTTTATGTTGATTGCTGGTGGGGGAGAACTGCTACAACAAGTATTTTCATTGCAGCAGCCATCACAGACTGGCTTGACGGATATATAGCGCGGAAGGTACTTTGTTTTCGTTGCTCTTTCATGTTCTTCTGCATAGTTACGACACTTGAAATTGTAAGCTTAACTTGTGAGTTCTGCATTTCAGATGAGATTAGGTTCTGCATTTGGTGCATTTTTGGATCCAGTGGCAGATAAGGTAAAGGATAATCTTCCTTAGCTACATCTCCTGTTATTATCTTTTCTTCATCTTGAGCCTTGTTGTAGTACACAAAGGAAAGGTTTTCTCTTTTCTGATTTTATGTCATTGGTATGCAGCTCATGGTAGCAGCAACATTGATCTTGCTGTGTACTAAACCAATGGACGCCATTGTGTTAGGACCAGTTCCATGGTTAGTGACAGTACCTTCAATTGCCATCATTGGTAGAGAGGTAAGATATAGAAAGTTTACTGTATTCCTAGATATTATTAAGTAGTGTCTAATCCACTTATCAAATCTCTGTTCTGAACTATTCGGTAATACTTTTCGCTGTAGATTACTATGTCTGCAGTAAGAGAATGGGCTGCATCTCAAAATGGCAAGCTTTCAGAGGTATAGTTATCTCCATTATATGAATTCTCTTCGAAACTATTTTTAAGTGTTCCCTACTTAAATGGCATTGATGATGTTGACAGGCTGTTGCTGTAAATAGCTTGGGAAAGTGGAAAACTGCAACACAGATGATAGCTCTTACCATACTTCTTGCAAGCCGGGATAGCAGTTTTGAGAGACTATTACCGTCGGGTATCGGGTTGCTCTATGTATCTGCAGGGCTCTCTATATGGTCTTTAGTTGTTTATATGAGGAAGATAATGAAAGTACTGCTAAAGAAGAAGTAGCAAACTTTCTTTTTTCGGGCTTTTGCATTCAGTATATACACATAGAATGGAAGATTTGCCCAGCGACATTTACCTCTCTTCTTCTTCTTGAAGAAAAGCTGACTAGTTTCTCTCTATGCATACAAAATGAAATTAGCTGGGCAAGCACTATAAGACTCTTTTCTGTTTTCAACTTTGGGCACTGGGATCGTACTCAGGTTGGTTTTGGTTTTGTATAATATCTCTGAATCACGTTGCTCCTCGCCGCGCACTGAATTTTTAACGAAGCAGCAAGCACGACCTTATGGGCAATGAGGGAAAAAGCAAGCAGCTGCATTTTCATTGTAGTTGGAGACTTTACTTGGTCTCATGAACTCTGGTATAAATGAAAAACAATTTGCCTGTCACGTAGATGCGTTTTTAATCCTCTCCCGATACAATATAACTATATATATATAAAACATCTTGGTTACAATATCTATTCTTATTTTTATGAACCCTTGTGAATGGAGAAAATCCCAGAGAACCATCTGGTTAGAGACGGAGTCCTGCTTGGACTCGTTTCTTGTATCTTTCAACTATCACTTGTGGATCTTGACGGGTTTCGGTGTAAGCTTCGATCTTGTTCACTTCCTGCAGAAAAAGGCCAAGAACTAGAGATTAGTATGTGCCTGAGGGAAGATTTGGTCTTAGGATGAAAGATAGATACAAAAATCGAAGAAATGTCCGTAACCTGAATCCATAGGGCGAGGTTAGGCCGACCAGATGTGATATCCACATTCATTACATCCTTGAATATAAGCTGAAATCTCTCTATGAATGGAGCATATGCAACATCAACCTGCATATAAAAACGTTCACCATTTTAGGCTCAGCATTAAAGATTTGATATGGGTAGAAGAAACTGATGAAAATAGTCGACAATACCAAACTAAATTGGCCAAGGAAGAAAGACCCTTCTTTGAATTTGGAAAGAGCCCGCTCAATGTAGTCGAATGCAGCATCTGAAGAAACGCAAGACAAGATTCAAGCACATGGAGCAAACACGAAAGGAAGAAAAGTCTGCATTTTATAACCACCTGCTGCATCATTGTCGTCACCATTGAGCGTCGATCTTACGGCCTTGGAAAATGAGTCGGTGTAGGAGAGTAACTCATCCGCAAATGCTTGCTTCTCTGGACCCTATTGTTATTCCATTCACATTTATTATCTCTTCCAAGCATAGGTTCACTATGAGTAAACTTGAAGTCAACAAAACAAAGAACTCATCGATACTCACATCAGGTGTAAGTGAAAGCCCTTCGAAATTGCTGTCAATGTACTTAATCAGGTCAAGGCTCTCTCCAATTACACGGTTATTGTGCTCTAATGCAGGCACCTACATCCACAACAGAGAAACATTACACTATAACTCCTCACCAAATCATGAAAGCAAACTAAAAAACTTTCACCTTGTTAGACTCATAAACTCTCTCTTTATACCAAGCAGGCCTGTTCGTGAGATCAATCGGTACGAGTTCTATCTTGTCTTGCAGACCCTAGACAACAAAACAAAAACTGATCTAAAATCAAACTAGTTTCATATCTACAACATAGAATCAGCAATAATATAATCAAAATGTAACCTTGTAATTCCGAGCAATCCACGCACGTTGAGCAAATGGGCAAGTATAAGATATGTACAACCTTTTCAAAATCGCAGAAACCAAAATTGTTCCATCAAAAATAGTTTGATTCAGAAATGAAAACAAAAGGTTTTTCTTTTAAAAAAAATCCAAACCTTGTTGATCCATCGAACACTTGAAGTGGTTCAGAAGAAGAATCAAGCTCTGGTACGCGACTACAAACAAAACCATAATTCTCTCAATCGAAGCCAAATTTGTATTCTTTTAAAGCTTTTTCTCAGAGAACGAAACACGAATTTGGTTACCTCGATGCTATAACAGCTAATAACGGTTTGGTTCGGCGTTTCCCATTGGAATTATACCGCTGCCTCAGGTAAAGATCGGAGCTTGGTCGGAGAATTTTCCGACCAACATAGAGACATGACGAAGAAGTGACAGAGAAACCCCTCGAGGGTAACGAAATCGATGGATTTGAGAACAAGTTAACTCTCACTACGACACTCATAACTCACCGTTCTTCCTTTCGTTTTCTCAGCTCCGATTAAAAGATTTCCCGGAAAAAAAATAATTTCCCATTTCTCCAAAGTCCCAACCTTTATATCACTGCCACACGTTTTTATACATTTCTTCAATACTTAGAGATATTCCATTTTTTTGTACAACTGGAAAAATATACATACAATATGGTTTGGGGAAAAAAGAGACAGAATTTACAATTTTTGAGTATCAGACAATCTGAAATTCTGAACAAACCAAAGAAAGAAGCAAACATAATCAAATTTCTTGTTCAGGAAAAAATGACAAAAAGAATAAATAAGATTTTTGTTGTTTGGTTTGGTTTTATTATTGAGTAAAGAAAAGAAAAACTATAAAAAGGCATTATTGCCTGAGAGGTGACGACCACCTCCTTTGATAGAGACCGGAGTTCGAATCCCAAAATTTGCAGAGTGGAGAAAAATGACTATAACGGTAATATCGTCGTGAAAATGTCGCCTGATCCCTCGTTCGATCTTCTCCAAATCCGAATATCTCATCTCTCTCTTCTTTGCTGCTACTTGTAATGCAGCTTTCACTAACCTCCGAGCCACAGCCTAAACAGAGAAAGACCACAAAACCGAAATCAATTCGACCGAACAATTAACAATGTTTCCGAATAAGAGTGATGTGAGAAGAAGGTCCCTTACATTGCGTGGACTAGAATTGACGATATCAACAGCTTCTTGGTTGCTTAGATGCTCCCATAAACCATCCGATGCAAATATAAGAAACTGATCTTCAGGGTGAATCTTATGAACTGTTATTGTCGGTTCAGCTCTCATAATCGGCTTCTCAAAACGTTCTGGAACTCTGAATTTAGGCAACAACGGTTCTTGGTTAAACTCTGCTCTCTTAAGGTATGCGTCGCCAATGGATCTTGAAACCTGTATAATCCCTTTAACACGCCAAACTTTGTGTTTCAAGACCACGATATTAGGATCATCAGGATGCAACAAACGTAATTCATCTCTCACGGATTCGATACTAGCATTATGCTCTGTCGATAGTTGAACAGCCTTCAACTCTTTAAACGGATTATCGAGTTTTCCTAACACAACCCGAGAATCTCCTGCGTTTGCAACATACAACAAACCATTACAAACAATACCAACCAAGCAACAAGCTCCCACAGAAGCAATCTGCGGTTTGTTCTTCCACTGCTCCTTAACTAAACCGAGAAACTCCTCCTCGGTCGCTACAAACGCTCTGGTGATTACATCGGGAGAGAGACCTCGTTGTTCTGATGTGCACCTCCTCATGTTATAAAAGAGTCTCTCGTTTACAAACCGAGCAGCCTCGGGTCCTCCATGACCGTCATAAACACCAACAAAAGTACCCTCAGGTCCTGAATCATGCAAACTAATAGGACCAGATTCTAATTGACAATGGTCTTCAAGAAGGTTGTTTGCTTGAACAACCGCCATCGAAAACTCTCCGGTTAAATGATTACCGGAATCTTTATACCACAAAAGACCATCGACTCGGCCATTACCATCATGATCACTACTACCTGGGATCGAACCTTCTCCAATACCAAAAGGTCTCCAACAAGGCGATACAATTCTCCTAAATGTTGTAGATACCATAATTCACATGTTAATTCTTTACCAAAA